AATTTCTCATTGTGAGATTTGGCCAGAGGGACTAGTCCATGCTGTCACCAAACTGATCCCCCATTCAAAAATTAATTTTCTGTGGAAAAATCCAGCGATAGTTTTTTTTGAATTATTAATTTTAACGTTATGTTAAATGTTTTTTTAATTCTTCATTAATATTAATCATTGTTAACCGATAAATTTCATCCCTATATTTTTTTAATTTAATTGCTTTTTCAATAATCGCATTAGCCGTACTTTCTTGGTTTGTTAATTGTTTTTCTAAATCAATTATATATTTAGGTAATTTGTCATTGGCTCATTCCTCTATTTTTTTTAGTTTTTGTTCTTTATCGACTGAGTTATCAGTTTTTGTAAGATTATGTTTGGTGATTAATAACTCTCGGATAGTCTTGATTGCTAAGAATAAATTAATGTTGTCGCCACTAATGTAAATCTTTTTTCGTGGGTCAGTGGTTTTGGCTGACCTGATAATTTTGTCTCCCTCACAGGTGGCAACAATAAATCCATAATCAGCATGATGAAATACCATGTCCCGCTCCAACTTATCAACTCAACCATTGTCTCATTTTTCAGTATTTTTAGTTTCATAAACAATCCTACCAACCACCTTTTTTGGTTCAACTTCGGTTAAAACCTCTTGTAGAAAATCGGCTCTCTTTCCCATTCCAGTTTGGCCTTTGCTTACATCAGTAATTCTGTCCTGACCGTCAAAAACTTTAAGTAATTCCTCGTAAAATCATTTTTCAAAATCTTGTCCTTTGCCTTGTCCTTTTTGTCTTAATACTAAATTCTGAATTTGTTCTTTTTTTTCAGTCAGTTGCTTTTGTAGTTCCTGATTTTGGTTTTGTAAATTCTCTATCGTTTTTCAGTGCTTATCCGCAATTTCTTTTTTTTCTTCATATAATTTCTTAACTCTGGTTGAGTTTTCTATATAGTCAGGGGATTGAAGATAAATTATTTTCTGTTCACAGTTTTTGATAGTTTCTCTTAGTCCTCTAACTTCTGGAAAATCCTCATAAATTTTTTGATTTTTCATTTCTTCCAATAGCGTCCTTCGATATTTATCTCACTGCGGAATAATTTGTTCCTCTAAGGTCTTCCTTATA